TCTACTTTGGACCCTGGGAAGTTCTCAAGGTAATTGGAGATGCAGAGGGACCGTCTTATCGAATTGATATTCCCCCTCATCTCAAAACATATCCTCTCTTTCATGCGTCCAAATTGTTGCCTTATGTAAAAGGAAATGAGATTCCTCACACACCCTCTATGATTCCACCAGACATGGATGGCGGATACGAGGTTGACCGGATTATAGAGCATGGCTACTTTTCTACGGGAGGACGTGGACGACCTCAGAAGCAGTCCAAGGTACTTTTTAAAACTCAAGCACCATCTGAGGACAGATGGTTTAGTAAATGAGAACTACTTGAAACCGCTCCTGATATTGTCGCTGCTTATGAACGAGGGTTAAAGTCGTAAATATTTCTGCGGTGGAACTCGAAAATGGGCCAGCAGGAATGTAATAACCCTGTTCAGAAGTAGCCTGGGGCCCATAACTCAGCCCCAGGCCACGCATCCCTGAGAAGGTCTTCGCTGGGCAGTGTGACCAAGACACGCCCAGGCCTGAGTCTGTCGAGTGTGGCTGTGTGACCGAACATTGCACACAAGAAATTCAAGAGTCAAACTCAACTGTAGAATCAAACGTACCGCACCCAGGCCCTGGAATGGTTTCACTCACTTGTTGTGCACAGGTACCCAGACAGCATCGAGGCCAAAGGAATTCGGTTTCAGGCCGATCTGAGCCCGCATTCGCATTGACATCTGAACGGCTGAGGGATACAGCATTCGGGGCCCAGACCCCGCGTCAACACCATATAAGAGTTGACTTCCTGACCTTGACATTCATTCTGGCTTGCGTTGATGTTGACTTCACGGATTGACTTCGATGCTGGCTTGACGCTGCGACGCTGGTTCGACGCTGCTAGCATTGTGACTTGGGAGGCGCTGCTAGTCCGGCATGGTGGCCGACTTGCTCCTGTCTTCTTGGCATGCTGATGTGGCAGCTGCCATGCACCTTCGCTCACGTGGCTGCTGCCTCGTGTATCATTTGGTTGACTTGGCTGCTGCCGCGTGTTCTGTTGAGAGGACTACGTAAGCGGCATTGCTGTTTTGTTTGTTGTCACTTCAGGAGGAGATCATGGCTGTGGAGAGTTCGAGGATACGTACCTAGTGGTCTTCATGTCGACATTGCTCCAGATGCCGATGTGGAACTGATTAGACGTGCCACGTGGCACATTGAGGATACTCGGATACTCGTTCAGGCTATTGATTGTTGAGGTGGCAGTGGAGGAGGGAGCCCGAAGCAGGAGTGGGCATTTTTGTTCCTCTCCTTTGTCTCTTCTCCCTCCTCTCTCTTCGTCTGTGTATCATATCTCACCTCATTCTGACTGGTCACGATTTTTTATTATTAGTTATCATCAGCCGATGGAATCTGGACTTGCATTGTTGACAACTGTCTCTCGATCTGGGTTCATTACAATTTGGTATCGGAGCGTATCTCCTGACGACGATATTAGTGTGGTATGCGCCACGTGGCGCGCAGGTAAGTGAGATTGAGTAGGTGATGATGTGGCAAGGGATACGCTAGGGTGATGACGTGGCACATACCTTTTTCGCGAGGATACACTGCCGAGTTCTGCTGACAAATCACTGGCGAGAAGACATTGCCGGGGCTGTTGACGAAATACAGGCTTCATTGGCAGGAAGAGATCCCTACCAGGCTGCTGACGTGGCAGTAGGGACTGCGACTGGAGATACTGCACACCAGCCTGGATCGCGATTGTGATGTGGCATCGTGATCCCTTGTTGACATGGCATGTGTTGTGCCACGTCTTAAGACCTTGTTACTGATGCTGACGTGGCACTTCTTGTGTTGCTGATACGCGACAGGGTCTACCGCAGATGCTGACGGTTCCTGGAGGAAAGAAGAGTGATTGTTGACGTGGCAGGAGCAGGTCATCACACCTATCTTCATGCGGTGGTGTCTGCCTGCGAACGTGGCATTGAGCTCCTTGGCTGACATGGCATAATCTGACTGGCTGGAACGGCGACGGTATCTCACGTGACGTTTGGAAGAGGCACGTGGCGAGGATCGGACTACACATTTGCTGACGTGGCATCCCATTATTGACAAACTGGACAGAGTGCTGACGTGGCAACATTGCTATGTTGGCACTCCAGGGGTGACATGTGGCAGGCAGGATACTGCCAAGTAAGAGGTGCACGTTAAAGACGACAGCGGTACAACTGACTGGACGAACTACACAGTTGTAGTGCCAGCTGTCAGGGGGAGTGCGTGATCGCACTAACATCAAGAAGACACAGCAAACTGACGAAGGTTGCTTACAAACTGTTTGTGATTGTTGCTGGCATACTTACCTGTTGTTGCAGTGTGTGGTGTTTGCGTACTTACTTGTGTGTAGTGTCTGATCACACGGGTTTGTAGTGGTACCTGTACACTCTCGAGTAGGACGTCATCACACAGACAAAGAACAACAATAGTTAGAAATAGAAATAATTGTTTTTGATTATTTTTCTTCGGTTATTTGAAATTTTGTTGTGGTAGATCAGTGCGGCCGTGGAATTTATTACCGTTAATTAAGTATTTATTGTGCGGCAGACGCATGTCGCGATGTCTTTCCTCTGGAAATCTCTAAAATTGTCGGTGCTCACACGTTTCATCCCACTTCTTTTCTACCCAGTCTCACTCATGTTTGTTGTGGATGAGGAGACTCCTGACCCCCGAACAAAGCAGCAAGTGAAAGGGCGAAAAAAAGTCTTGATTGCCCGTTTGGACAAATTGATATCTGAACTTCATGATGTCGGTGAAGATGTTGAGGCTCACGTTCGGAGCATGTACGATTTAAAAGCATTACATGATGCTATTGAATCGTCTGTCACAGGCACCGACGTCATTCAGGTTCAGGAGATACCAATCAAGTGTCGACAAAAACTTGATAAGTATATCATGGATCAACTCATTCAGCTTGCTGAACAGAAAGAAGAAGAAGAAAGGGTCATGTCTGAAGAGACCGTAGATAAGAATATCAAACAACTTGAAGAAGCACTAGAAAAAGAGAAGAAGAGGAACGAAGAATTGAGAAAGAGAAAGATTGAACAGCAAGAACATAAAGTGCAAGAAATTAAACAAACTGTTGTTAAGACTGAAGGGGAAGAACATGAGATTTCTTTGGCTCAGCTTGTGAATTACCTTGCCCATCTCGAAATGAAAGTCGATCAGTTGGGCGAACGGATGCAGTCACAAATTGATGATGTGGCTTAAGGACTCCGGACAGTCACGAATCTTTTCAAGGGAAAGGAAAAGGTCAAGGAAGAAAGGAAGGAAGAAAAGCCAGAGAAACTAATGGGAGACGCAATGAAGTCTCTTAGAGTAGAGACTCAGAAACCGGAAGAAAAGAAAGGGGAGCCTTCGAGTCCGCCGAAGTCTCCCGGAGGAAGCAAAGTCACCACACCACAACCTGAGAAACCAAAAAAGAAAGACAAGGTCAAAATGAAATTGCCTTTCACATTTTGTAATAAGAAAGACGAAAATCTGCTATTGTGGATCACAGAGATTGAAACGTATTGTAGCACGGCCCCTGTTGAACCCGATTCCCAGGTTGCTTTCTCTACTTCTTGTATTGGTGGGGAAGCTAAGGAGTGGGTTTTGGCCGAAGCCAATGCCGCAGGGTTCGATCACATCGGGGAGTGGGCTGGAACATTGAACCTCAAACAGTTCCTTGGGAAGATCAAGGAACCGTTTTTGGACAAAACGACTGCCGACAAGGCCTCTGACCTACTCACCACGATTGGTCAAAAGCATTGGACCTCTGTGGAGTCGTTATCCCGGGAAGTCGATCGGTTGCTGCAGGTTCCGGGATTGAACCTGCAAGACAACCAGGTCTTGAACATCTATTCCCGAGCTCTGCCCAAGCCCATTCGTGGACAACTAATGGCAGAGTCTAAGTCTGGTAAGTATAACTATAGGCCATTCCGGGATTTGGCTCTCCAACGAGAGCAAATGACTTCTCAGGTGAAGAACTCTTATGCATCTGTTGTGAAGTATGGTGGTGGTGCAGGAAGAGGAAACCGGGTACTTTGGCGCCAAAAGCGCCAGGACCACACGCTTGTCGTCTTCGATGACGAAACTGTGGAAAGGTGGTCGTTAGAGGCCGAGGGTGTGGCGAGCAGCAGTGACTCCGGGAAGGGGGAAGTCACTTCTGCCGTGGTCAACAGGGGAGGACCACGACCGCCAGTCAAGAAGAAGAAACCACGCTCGTTCCCAGAGCACCCCGGGATTGCAGTCGGGAAGCCATGGGAAAAGATGGGTCTGTCAAATGAAACGTGGCAGAAACGAATGGATAACGCGCATTGCCTGAAGTGTGGCATTGTAGGGCATGTGATTGCACGGTGCCCGTTGATCCTGAACCCAAAAGCGAGCCGCCAGTAGGAGTAGCATCTGCTCCTACTGAGTCAGGGGGTTTGGACCACGATGAAGGTAAAGCGCCTACTAACCCTTCCAACCCTTTGACTCGCATGGCAGAGGATGGTTCTTCTTCGGCCCATCGTCCAGAACACCCTGAACCTGTCTTATGTTCTATCTCTCTGGACGACTTCCTTGACGAGCTTGGTAACGAGTTGCTGGCATTACGAAGCTCGTGGGCTAAGATAGCTAAGTCTACGGGTGACCTACTACTCGCGGATGTAGAAATCGCACGTACACACGTAGGTGCACTGTTGGATTCAGGATTCACTCGATCCTACATATTCGAGAAAGCAATTCGCAAGTTGCATTTCGGAATGAAGGTGAAGAACCTATCTAGACCTATAACGTCTGTTTTGACCGACAAACGCACGATCACTGTCTCGCAGTATGTTGATCGTGTCAAGTGTTGGTTTCGAACAAACGAAGGGAAGAAGATTTTGCATGAGGTATCCTTTCTGATAGAAAAGAACTTACCGTTTGACTTGATTCTGGAAATGGATTGGCAGGAGGAAGCCAACCCAGACATTAAGTTCAAAGAGAAGGTTGTGCATTTGCGAGACGCACAATCTAATTTGAAACCAATCAAATTGTTTCATAAGTTTAGCCCTGACTCTAGTCTGTCTTTTTGTTGTATGAGTTATCCAGCCTTTCGCTCAATGGTTTCAAAGAAGAAGTTGGGACAAGAAGTAATGATGGTTTTAGTAAAAAGAGCAGGAGAGTCTTCTACTTCCTATCCTCCTTCAATTGAAAAACTCTTAAATGAATATAAAGAACTATTCAACGAACCGACAGGAATAACCGCGCGTGCTATAAAGCACACCATTGAAATCATTCCTGGCAGTAAGATCCCCAAGGGCCATATCTACCGCATATCTACTAGGGAACTTGAGAAACTAAGAAAACAACTGCAGGACTTAACAAAGAAAGATGGATTCGCCCCAACTCTTCTCCTTATGGTGCCCCTGTCTTATTTGTGCCCAAAAAGGAAGGTGAGTTGCGTCTCTGTATTGACTACAGAGGGTAGAATGCCGTCACTGTTAAGAATGTTGAACCGCTTCCTCGCATTGACGACTTACTTGACCAGTTACAGGGATGCAGGTACTTTAGCAAGATCGACTTGAAATCCGGATATCCCCAGATTGAGGTGGAACCCTCCGATCAGCATAAGACCGCTTTCCGGACCAGGTATGACCACTACGAGTTAGTGGTAATGCCCTTCGGATTAACGAATGCCCCTACTACTTTCCAAAGGTCGATGAATGACTTGTTTCGTCAGTGGTTGGATAAGTTTGTTATTGTCTATCTCGATGATATTCTAGTGTATAGTAAAACACTAGAGGATCATGAGAAGCACCTTCGTCTGGTGCTAGGGAAGTTGTGTGAGGGCAACTTCAAGATCAATCCCAAGAAGTCTGAGTTTGTTAAGTCCGAAGTGTTATACTTAGGACACATAATGAACGAAGAAGGTTTAAGGCCGGAAGAGGAAAAAATTTCAGCAATAAGAGATTGGCCACAACCTAAGTCTATAACTGAATTACAATCTTTCCTTGGTCCAACCAGTTAATAAAGGAAGTTTGTTAGAAACTTCTCATTGATTGCTGCACCAATGCGAAGATTGTTAAAAAACGAAACTATCTGGTTGTGGGATAAGGATTGTGAGTCTTCCTTTCGGAAACTGAAGAATGCCCGGACTCACTACCCCTTTCTTAAGATTGTTGACCCATCTTTGCATTTCATTGTCACAACAGATGCAAGTCAATATGGGATCAGCGTTGTTCCACAGCAAGATGACGGCAAGGGCTATAAGCGCATAGAGTTTATGTTTGCGCGACTGCCGTCTGAAAAGGTTGCCAACTCCACCTATGAAAGGGAGTTGTATGCCTTAGTCTATGCACTAAATACTTAAAAGCACTACTTGTTAGGGAGGCACTTCTCTGTGCACTCAGACCACTCCACCCTTAAGTGGATAAAGACACAGTCGAGGCTCTCTGATAAGCTGGTTCGATGGTCTGCATTCATTAACACTTTTAATTTTGAGTTGAAAACAATCAAAGGAAAGTCTAATGTGGTTGCGGATGCATTGTCCAGACGGAGTGACTTCTTTGGTGCAATTGTCTCTTACTTGGATGTTGGGAATGACCTGAAAGACCAGATTCGCCAAGGATATGCTACTGATCCTATCTGGAAACCAATCATGGATATCCTTGAACGAGATCCATCCCAACTACCCAGCTATAGAATGACTGATGGATTGTTGTTCTTGATTGACCAAACCGAACAGAGATTGTGTATTCCTCATAAGATACAGATAAAGAGTGTATTGATCGGGGAATGTCACAATTCTGAGGGTCACTTTGGTTTCAAGAAAACATATGCTGAAGTTAGAGAACGTTTCGAATGGAAGGGACTTAAAGAAGATGTACTAACATATGTTCGTACTTGTTTAGTGTGTCAGAGAAACAAGCCGTCGCACGAGAATCCCCTTGGACTTCTCAAGCCATTACCTATACCAAGCGAACCAGGTGAGTCTATTTCAATTGACTTCATGAGTCTGGTTAAGAGTTGCAATGGTAACAGTCAAGTGATGGTAATTGTGGATCGTTTCTCTAAATACGCTATGTTTGTTCCCTTACCAGCAGAAGCACGTAATGAACTTGTCATTCAGAAATTCCAGATGCGATGGGTTACTGAAGATGTGTTTCCCAAAACCATTGTGTCTGATCGAGATGTCAGGTTCACCAGTCTGCCATGGCAAAARCTAATGGAAGCTTATGGCACACGGCTGACCATGTCGTTAGGGAGGCATCCCGAAACGAATGGCCATACTGGACAGATGAACCGTCTGTGCCAACAGCTTTTGCGTATGTTCATTAGACCCGATCAGATTGATTGGGACGAGAACTTACCTAAGATTGCAAGTGCATATAACAAYAGTGTCCACACATCTACTGGACGAACCCAAATGCACTTCACAAAGGGTGGACACCTACATGTCCCATTGATGTATTGAACCGGGACCAGTTTCTTAGGTTGCCCCCAGGGACCCGAAAATATGCAATCTTGTTTCTGGAAGACATTCAGAAAGTTAAAGATAATCTAAGAAAAGTTCAACTACGAATGATTAAACAAGCCAACAAGCACCGTCAACCGTCTACATTCAAAGAAGGTGATTTGGTTTGGGTAAAATCTAAAGAGTTTTCACGAGAAGAAGATGTCTCCCAGAAATTGCTACCTGTCTAYTTTGGACCCTGGGAAGTTCTCAAGGTAATTGGAGATGCAGAGGGACCGTCTTATCGAATTGATATTCCCCCTCATCTCAAAACATATCCTGTCTTTCATGCGTCCAAATTGTTGCCTTACGTAGAAGGAAACGAGTTTCCTCACAGACCCTCTACGATTCCACCAGACATGGATGGCGGATACGAGGTTGACCGGATTATAGAGCATGGCTACTTTTCTACGGGAGGACGTGGACGACCTCAGAAGCTGTTCAAGGTACGTTTTAAAACTCAAGCACCATCTGAGGACAGATGGTTTAGTAAACGAGAACCACTTGAAACTGCTCCTGATATTGTCACTGCTTATATACAAGGGTTTAAGTCGTAAATATTTCTGCGGTGGAACTTGAAAATGGGCCGGCAGGAATGTAATAACCCTGTTCAGAAGTAGCCTGGGGCCCAGAACTCAGCCCCAGGCCACGCATCCCTGAGAAGGTCTGCGCTGGGCAGTGTGACCAAGACACGCCCAGGCCTGAGTGTGGCTGTGTGACCGAACACTGCAGACAGGAAATTCAAGAGTCAAAGTCAACTGTAGAATCAAAGGTACCGCACCCAGGCCCTGGGATGGATACACTCACTTGTTGTGCGCAGGTACCCAGACAGCATCCAGGCCGAAGGAATTCGGTTTCAGGCCGATCTGAGCCCTCGTTCGCATTGAGATCTGGACGGCCGAGGGATACAGCATCCGGGACCCAGATCCCGCGTCAACACTACATAAGAGTTAGACTTCCTGGCCTTGACATTCATTCTGTCTTGCGTTGATGCTGACTTCACGCATTGACTTCGACGCTGGCTTGACGCTGCGACGCTGGCTCGACGCTGCTGGCATTGTGACTTGGGAGGCACTGCTAGTCCGGAATGGTGGCCGGCTTGCTCCTGTCTTCTTGGCATGCTGACGTGGCAACTGCCATGCGCCTTCGCTGATGTGGCTGCTGCCACGTGTATCATTTGGCTGACGTGGCTGCTGCCACGTGTTCTGTTGAGAGGACTATGTAAGCGGCATTGCTGTTCTGTTTGTTGTCAGTTCAGGAGGAGATCAGGGCTGTGGAGAGTTCGAGGATTCGTACCTGGTGGTCTTCATGTCGACATTGCTCCAGATGCTGATGTGGAAATGATTAGACGTGCCACATGGCACATTGAGGATACTCGTTCAGACTATTGATTGTTGAGGTGGCAGTGGAGGAGGGAGCCCGAAGCAGGAGTGGGCATTTTTATTCCTCTCCTTTGTCTCTTCTCCCTCCTCTCTCTTCGTCTGTGTATGATATCTCACCTCGTTCTGACTGGTCACAATTTTTTATTATTAGTTATCATCAGCCGATGGAATCTGGACTTGCATTGTTGACAACTGTCTCTCGATCTGGGTTCATTACGATAATATTTTTAAAAAATAGAAAACAAAATCGAAAAAATCCGAAAAAAAAATTTGTTGTGTAAAATTGCAATACAAATGACTTTTGGCTGAGGGCGACCTCGAAACGCTGCGACGCTGGCTCGACGCTGCTGGCATTGTGACTTGGGAGGCGCTGCCAGTCCGGCATGGTGGCCGGCTTGCTCCTGTCTTCTTGGCATGCTGACGTGGCAGCTGCCATGCGCCTTCGCTGACGTGGCTGCTGCCACGTGTATCATTTGGCTGACGTGGCTGCTGCCACGTGTTCTGTTGAGAGGACTATGTAAGCGGCATTGCTGTTCTGTTTGTCGTCAGTTCAGGAGGAGATCAGGGCTGTGGAGAGTTCGAGGATACGTACCTGGTGGTCTTCATGTCGACATTGCTCCAGATGCTGATGTGGAACTGATTAGACGTGCCACGTGGCACATTGAGGATACTCGGATACTCATTCATACTATGGATTGTTGAGGTGGCAGTGGAGGAGGGAGCCCGAAGCAGGAGTGGGCATTTTTCTTCCTCTCCTTGGTTCTTCTCCCTCCTCTCTTCGTCTGTGTATGATATCTCACCTCATTCTGACTGGTCACAATTTTTTATTATTAGTAATCATCAGCCGATGGAATCTGGACTTGCATTGTTGACAACTGTCTCTCGATCTGGGTTCATTACAA